ATTTACTCTTGGATGAATATTGTGGAAACGATTATTTAGATTATGATAACTTGTACATATTCTCTACGACTCTTTTTCAACCTTGTTATCAAGCACTTGTGAATGGTTTTGAAAATGGCTTAAGCAAAAAGGAAATCAGAGAATGTTTTAAGAATCAGAATTTTATGATAGACAAAAAGGATAAGAAAGATATATCAGTTCACACTTCTGATAGTTTAGATGAAATACCTGATCCTAGTTCTATCGACCCAAATAAGAAAACTTTGATGATATTCGATGATCTAATGCTTGAAAAACAAAATAAAATAGAACAGTATTACACCAGGGGTAGGCACAATAATATAGATTGTTTTTACATTTCACAAAGTTATATAAAACTACCGAAAAACACTATCAGGGAAAACGCTAACTTTTTCATAGTTTTTTCTCAGGATAAGCTTAATTTAGACTATATCTATAGAGATCACTGTGGGGAAGTAGATAAAGCTATCTTTTTGGATATGATATCAGAAACTTGGAAGGAAAAGTATACGTTTTTCACTATAGATAAAACTAGCGATTCGGATGATGGCAAATTCAGGAAGATCATCTGTTAAATATCGATCAGATGATATAAAGTAATAAACGTCCGGAGTTTTTCTCAACCAATCCTTTTTCAACTTTTTATAAGCATGCAAGTGTCTATTTCTACATTTATCGTTACACACATGCATGTGTACATACATATGCAGTCTATGGGGTCTGTAAGTGAAAACAGTCATTTATTTGCTTCTTGATCTGGCTTCTTTCTTGCGTATGTCCATATTCTGCTTTAGGACACTCCGAAACGAGTGTTTTTTTATTACGTATATATGTAAATCCGTTTTCCGTATTCCGTATTCCGTTTTCCGTTTTCCGTTTAGCTAAATTTATTTCCGTTTAGCCGAGCTAAACGGAATACGGAATACGGAAAACGGATTTTGAAATATACCAAAATAAAAACATGTCTAAAATAAGAAACACCTCCCGTAAGCGTTCATAGGACAAAGAAGGATTTCAACATCTTCCTGAATTTGCCATCATCCGAATCGCTAGTTTTATCTATAGTGAAAAACGTATACTTTTCCTTCCAAGTTTCTGATATCATATCCAAAAAGATAGCTTTATCTACTTCCCCACAGTGATCTCTATAGATATAGTCTAAATTAAGCTTATCCTGAGAAAAAACTATGAAAAAGTTAGCGTTTTCCCTGATAGTGTTTTTCGGTAGTTTTATATAACTTTGTGAAATGTAAAAACAATCTATATTATTGTGCCT